TTTTTGCCTTGGCCAGCACCTCAGCCATGCTTGCCTGAGGGTTCTTCGAAATAGAGAACATTAGATCTTTGGACTGCACACCTAAAACAGCTATAAACGCGATAATGACAAACTTCTCATATGAGACATCTACTTTCAGTGACTCTGAATTGAACCTCTAGACATAAGACCTGATGTTCTCATGGGGTCTTTGCGTCACGTTCAGTAAGTGGTAGATCGGCTTTCGATATGTCCGAGCTCCTATGAAGTGAGATACAAAGGATATGGAAAGCTCCTTAAAGGAGGAGATCAAAGCTAAGCCTTTCAATGTGATAGCAAAGGCTCTGCAGTGCACAGGGTCCTGATATCCATGTAGCTCCATATGTCTTGTAGGTATTGAGGTTATCCACGGGATCTTTTATCCCATCAAAAACCTCTATCTATGGCATTTTGAATTTTGGGGAGAGGAGAAAATGCAGCACGCCAATGGTGAATGGGGACTCAATCTGTTGCACCAGGGCATCCATTGTGACTGGAGCTTTGCTCTTCATAGCTTCCTTCATGTGGCTAAGCTCTTGCTGGAGGTCCTTGAAGCGCTGCTCCCAGTACTGTTCTCTGCTCTCCTACTGATAAGGGAAAAAATTATTCCTGTCGCCCCTATCGTTTTGACTTTGCACTTCTTCATTGTGTCCATTCCTATGGGGTTGATGGGGAACTTGCCCCAAGGCCTGGCTATTTTCCCCTCTTTCATTAACTTCTCTGAGGGGATCGAGGTGTTGTTATTCTCTGTGAGGTGGGTTATTTTGGCCTTCTTGGGCCGGTCGTGCCTCTTGAGGGCGTTTCAAGAGCTTCAAAAGCTCCCCATTATGCTGTAGCAGACGTTGATTAACTAGGCAAAGGGCCTCCAACTTGTTATTTATAGGGGGATTCCCTATGGCAGGATTAGTCTTTATAACATTCTCGGGTTGTCTACCGGCGACAGCTTCCTGCTGGTCTTGCATTCGTGGTATATTTGTTTGGCTTCTGCTCATGTTGCGAGTTGAAACCATCAATCACTGAAAGATCAGCTTATTTGTAACAAGAACAATCATTCTCACAGATGGCGTCAAACTGATGGTGTAAATCAACGTGGTGCAACTTTGTGATATTAAACAGATGAGATGAGCAGTGTATAACTATTAGGATCTGAGCTGCAAGGCTCAAAAGAACAAGGATAGGTATCGAGGGGGAATTAGGGGATTGACACAATGAACATATAGTGGTTCACCAACTCAAGAGCTCGACTAATCCACTGTTCAATGGAGACTCTTGTTCCTCTTTTTCTTTATATATCACCCGAAAGGTTTACAAGACTAATTCTATGTTATTCGGGGTCTCCCCCTCTCTTGGGGGCATTACATAGTATTTATAGAGCTGTTCCTAGTTCTGCGGGATCTGCACCGAGATCCTTGCCATTTATCCGAGGATCTCTTCTTGATCTTAGGAGAGGATCTTGGCTGGTTAAGGATTTTGTGCCTTTAATATGGCTCTTTGCCACTTGTAAGATTTTTGTTGTCATCTAGTTGTTCCCTTATCATTTCCGCTATTGTCGCGTTTGGGGGGAGCTCTAACTCTGACCCTCTAAGCTCTGCGTGTCTTCCCTGACCTCATGGTCTGACATGTTTATGTGACCTTCCCTCCTGAACTCATACTTGGAAATTGTTCTGGGTATCATCAAGTATATTTGATTATAGCTAAGATTATAAACCCCCAATACATTTGGGTACTCATATGTGATGATTGTTTTGAACATATTTTTAAGGTTTGCCTCTTTAAGGCCATAGACGTTGAATTATCTATATTCTTTAATGGATATCATCCCTTTGGCACCTAGCATCACTACGGATTGCTCTTATCTGCCTTTCTTACATTTTTCATATTAAATGTACTTTCTTACTTCCCAAATTCATGACATATTGAAATAGTGTCCAACAGCAATTCTTGTGATCACATTCAGCTTAATTTACAACTATATTGTCAGGACTACATGTGCTAGAAGTGGTAACTGGACAATATTTCTCAAAACTTGTGTTGTGATCATCCTTTTCGACTTGATAGAACTAAAGCTATGTGTACCTAATTTTTTTTTTCTAATAAAATAAAAAAAATTATTGAGAAAAGGGAATCAAAAAATAGGATACATAGTGGAGGACAATAAATCCTCAAACATAATAATAAAAAAAGATAAAAAAAATGCAATATAAATAATAACTATGCATTGACACTAAATCAACCCTACAATCCAATCCCGTTGAGGATCCGATAATGGTAAGCCTGTAAAAATTCATGTGGCTTTAGTCCATAGAGAAGCCATGGTCGTCCTAGCATCACCTCTGGGATAGAATATTACAAGGACGGTCATCGTGGAAAACCAAGACTAGTCGAGCATTAAGCAAATAGTGTCATGGGGTTATTTTCAACCAAGTGTAGACCTTGTTGGATGCACTCGATAAAGAAGTTTCTTGCAAAGGGAATACTTTCCAACAACAAAGAAGAGGCACGTAGATTGAGACTAAGGGCATCCAGATTCTAGATATGTCCTAATGGGGAACTCCATAAAAACTCCTTCATAGGACCATACTTGCTCTATGTACATCCCAAAAATATTCAGAACTCAATGGTTGTGGGGCACATTCTAGGGGATGGTCTTTAGGACACTGATAAATTTTTTAAGGGTACTAGTGGCCCTATATGCATAAGGATGCTCAGAGGTATGTTAGGCATTGCGAGATATGTCAAAAATTCTCACCCATATCAAAACAACCATCACAGGACCTAAATCCACTGTCAAGCCCCTGGCCCATCGCCCAATGGGGATTGGACATAGTTGGTCATACGCCGAATGCCACTTGGAACAAGAAGAACCTTATTGTAGGAACAAACTATTTTATGAATGGTTAAAAGGTGAGCCTTTTGCTTACATATGGGACACAAACACAAAGAAGTTCATTAGGAATAACATAATTACAAAGTTTGGTATCCTAAAAGCAGTGGTGTCAGATAACGACACTCAATTTGAAAGCAAACCATTCAAAAAATTCTACCAGGATTATGGGATTAGAAATCATTACTCTTCTCCTGCATACCCGCAAGGAAATGGAAAAGTAGAGAGTTCAAACAAGACAATCCTCAATGGAATCAAAAAGAGGTTGGAGAAAGCTAAGGGGAGATGGGTGGAAGAGTTACCAATCGTTTTATGGGTGTACCAAACTACACCTCGTCGAGCAACAAAAGAAACCCAGTTTGCACTGACCTATAGAATGGAGGCTATAATACACTAAGAAATCGACTTACCTACTTTAAAGACCGACCTGGTCACTAGTAGGGGAAGCGAGTCCATGGTTGCCAAAGACCTAGACCTGGTCGATGAAAGAAGGGAGCTAGCTAGTACAAAAATAGTGTCTTACCAATAATAGATGGCTTGAGTTTATAACAGAAGTGTAAATTCAAAGGGTTCTGGTAAGAGATTTAGTCCTAAGAAAAACTATAGGCACCACGAAGAATCCTGTGGAGGGCAAGCTTAGGGCCAAGTGGGAGGGACCCTACAGGGTGACCTTGGTCTTGGGCTCTGATTATTACAAACTTGAAAAGATCGAAGGGAGAGCAATCCAGAGCCCCTAGAATGCAATGAACCTTTGTCAATATTGTCACTAAAACAGAAGTCACAACACATCTAATGGAGTTCCTTTGGGATTTCCAAGTGAAGGATATGTAGAACAAAATTTTCAAGTAATAAAAATCTTCCTTTTCATTTCCATCTCTATTTCATATATTGCAATGATCAACTGTGCAACCAGGCTTTACCAAGTTCAAAGGAACAAGACCCAAGAATGAAATGCTGGGAAAATTCAACCTGCTATTGAGGCAACGAGGATAAAAATCTTGACACCAACAGGCCTTTTGTCCAATAGTATTCCTTACCTTGTAAAGGTTTTGCCTTCTTGAGGTCAAAGGTTCAAGTCCTCCTTCCCCTCTCCCTCCCCCTACCCCAAAATTTTTTATTTTTATTTTTTAAAGGATAAAAATCTTGATAGATGAAGGGACCAAGCTCATATTTAGCCACCCATTTAGGCTTAGACCTGGAACTAGGCATGATGGTACAAGTTCCAAAGGGCAAAGCTTTGAATCTAAGGACAGAGCCTTCCTTGAAGAAAGAGCTTCTTTCTAAGGAAGGGCAGGTCTGGAATATCTCTTTTTTTGACATGAGTATGAAATCCCTGAACTCTCGCTGATGATTAAGCCTTATGCAAGGAAAGGAGGGGACAAGAGCCCATTTCTAGGCATAAGTACTAAAGGCCCGAACAACGTCGAGGACCGAGCCTCGTGAAAGGGAGGGGAAGAGTTGAAAGCTCATTTTTTGGCACGAGTATCAAATCCATGAACTCTCCTTGATGATTGAGCCTCATGTAAAGAAAGTGGGGAGCAGAAGTTCGTTTCTTGGCATAAGGACCAAAGGCCTGAACATCCGCTAAGAACCGAGCCTCGTATAAGGGAAGAGAAGGGTCATAAGCTCATTTTTTGGCCCGAGTATTAGAGCCCCGAACTCTCCTTGAGGACCGAGCCTTATTTAGGGAAAAGGGGGGGCTAAATCTCACCTGTTGCAATAGAACCTCACTTTCTTTAAAAGCAAATTCCTAAATGAAAATTTCAAAATTCAGAAACAATCCATTCATAAAATGAAAAATTAAATAAAATTCTTTCACGCACAAAACAAAAAAACAAAAATTACATGTTTGGAGCACTCTACGAGGAATTATAGGGTCAGTAACCTAATCATTAACCAGAACAAAAGTAGGGCCATAAGTATCAACTGAAGGAACCTTAGTCGAAGGAGAAATCATACCCAAAGAAGAAGGAACAGTCACAATGTGCATAGAAAAGAGTCCAAAATTAGAAGGAATCTTGGCCTCCTTCAAGGCCACATGCCACCCCTTCTTGAAGTAAAAACCCTCAATCACCAAAAGCTACTCTATCGTAGCACTCTATGCCTTCTCAAAACCCTCATCATAGGCTTCATCCATAGCAATCTTAAGTGAGGATCGAAGGGCTTCCAGATCAAATTTAAGAGAGGAGTTGAGCCCTTTCCCCAAAGTATCCACGTCGCGAGCCACTTTCTTCGATTTCTCTACTGTCTCTAACTTATGAACAAATTCTTCCTTCTGGTAGGACAATATTTCAACTTCATCATGGAACCATGTAATTTTGCCAAAGGCTTTCAAGGAATCCAGAGACCTTTAAGTTAGGGTTTCATTCACGTCCTTGCCCCTAGTTACGGCCTAAGATTTGAGATCAAAGACCCATTGCATGCCCTAAAAGGAAAGTGAAGGAGAAAATTAAAGAAGGGTAGGGTACCGAACAAACTCAAAAAAGACAAGGAAGTCAGGAGAAACTTACCACAACCATAAGTTGAACAACACTACGAGCAAGAGCATCATCGTCTAGATCCTCTAAAATACACGATTTAGGGGGAATAATGGACACCTTAGCCAAGCCAATTGTGATGTTGACTTTGTCAATAACAGAATCCTTTGAATGAATGTCCCTACCATGAGCATGCATCTGAGGTCTCCAAACTCGAGCCCCTTCAACTTCTTTAGTAGATGGTTCCATGATGATCTTTCTCTTTTGTCCCACTAGATTCTCTCTTCACTAGCTTCGTAAAAAAAGGTGGTAACTTTTTTCAGGTCAACATCATCCTCAAAATAGAGCAATGCAACCCGTTGTTCAGAAGCAGTAACAGTTAGGGCCTCATTCAAAGGAGGGAGAGAAGGTTGCTCAACTGATGAAGTCTATTTGGCTAGGACCACAAGTGGCCAAACATCATCTGATGTATCAGATTTCGACGTTGCCCCAGAAGCGAAGCCGACGATAAAATTAGTCAATTTTTTTACAACACGGTCTCTTCCCATGCCTTTTCTATTTAGGACCTTTGGTACAGAAATTGATGCCTCCTTTGACCGAGTAGCCCTCAAAACTAAAAATTGTTGGGAAAGACCACTATGAAAGACTTGTAGGCAAGTTCATAGCCCAAAAGCACCTACGTAGCTCTGCACCAGTGGTCTGAAGCGCCGAATTCCCAAAATTTCTATAGATTTACTAAATTAATGCTTGAATCTGGCACCTTCCTCTTCACAGATTCACCTGCAGTAATCAAAGAACCAGGATCCTTTAAAAAGGAAGAGGAAGAAAAAGGGGGAAAACAAAAAAAAGGACACCGAACCTGGTGCACCTTCTTCGAATGGACAGTTGTAGTAAGGCTCTTTGGCTTGCCAGTGTTCACAATTGCTAGAAATGAACAAGATATCAATCTCATGACCTTTATCTAAATCAAGAAGATGAGTGTCGAAGTAATTATTAGTTTTTTTAACTCAAAAGTAATAGTTTTTCGTAGAGGTGTGAGCAATCGTATAATGATGAGTGAATTTTATACCTATGAACTAAGTATTCTTAGCTTGATGAAATTGCAAGTTTTCAAGTATTTTATGTTCCTTTTTATTTGTTTTGTGTGTTTTAATTTTATTTTGTAGGGATCATGATTTGGAAGGAAATAAGGTCATTTAGAAGGAAACAAGGTCATTTGGAAGGTAACAAGGTCATTTGGCAGCCTTAGTGTTAGATTATTTGAAGAATAAGCAACAAGGGCAGCTGTAGGCATAAATGGAGGTCAATGCCGCATCTCTAGGTGCAGCACTACAACTCTAGAAGGGCAGAAATTCAGCGCAACTATGCTGATTTTAGGGGTTGCAGTGCATATTTTGGCTTAGGACGCAAATTCTAACTTGATTTTGAGTAGGAATTGAACCCTAATGCCACATATATGCTAGGGTTTGAGTTGGGATGAATATTTTGATATGAGGGACTTCTAATATAGGATTAACCAAGGATTGATAGTGAATTGAAAATAAGGATTGAAGGAAGCGACACAAAGAAGATTGGACTTGAAGGCTAGAGAGAGATTGAAGATTGCATCTAAGTTTTCATTCCTTTTCTCTTACTTTTAGTTTTTGATTTTCTAAAATTTTGATTAATTTGAGAATAATTTTTTTCAATTATGTTATGAACTAAATCTTTATTAAGATTGCAACAGAACCTGATGTTTAGTTAAATTGATCTACTATTGTTTCTAGTTCTTATTGATCATATATGAGTTGTTTGTCATATTTTGTGTGTAATATAGATTGTTTGGCCAAAAATTAATTTGATTCCCGAGATGAAATTGAGAGATGAATTATAGGCTTAGATCTGAATATGATGACATACATCTGGTTAATTCTTCTTAGGATTGAATAGCTGAGTTTGTGTATAGGATAGGAATATACCTATATGGCATATGTAACTTTTATGAGACTTTGAACATAATGAATCTATTCTAAATTATTTTACATAGGAATATAGTAATTTAATTGTTAGAGATTTTTTTATCTAACTATCAGAAGAGGTTTAATAAATAATTTTGAGTTCTCAGTTGAAAACTTATTTTGATCATTTAACTGGAAAGAGAGTGAAAAAATTTATATGAAACATTAGGGGAAGTTGTAATCTTAACTTCTTTTATCTGGTACATTCAATCCTTGATTATTAAGTTTAGATTTAGTTTTAAACTAGTGAATTCATAGTTAATTTCAATTGTTTAAATAAAGTCTAATTGATATAAATTTAGTACTTGAAAATTATTAGTAATAATTCTCTATGGGAACGATACTCTATTTATCACTTCATTACTTTTTGATAGTGTATACTTGCACGTAAATTGTCATTATCAAATTCGGACAACAAGTTTTTGGCGTCATTGTCGGGGAATTATTCTAGTAATTATTTCAATCAATTTGATCTTAGTTTAAACTTATTTAATTTTATGTTTTAATTATTTTCGCAAGCACTCTTGAATTTTGTATGCAAACACGATCTACAGGTTAGGAGCTACTATCATACGAAGACGAAATTGAAAGAAAGCTTCGAAACTTGCAAAAGCAGTGTCAAGAAGTCAATAATCAAGAAACTATGGTACAAGATGAACATAAATCGCTAAGGGATTATGCTATGCTGCTTGTTACGAAAATACAATCGAGCATTCAATGGCCCGCAATTTAAGCAAACGGTTTTAAGATCAAGCTAGGTACCATCCAAATGATTCAGGATTCAGTGTAGTTTGGGGGTTTGCCTAATGATGACCTAAACGATCATTTGGTGAGTTTTCTAGAGATTTGTGCTTGGTTCAAATACAATGGAGTTTCTGAAGATGCGATTAGACTCTGACTTTTTCCTTTCACACATTGTGATAAGGCAAAGAGTTGGTTGCATTCATTGCCATCGGGTTTTATTACAACATGGACAAATTTAGCTCAAAAATTCTTAGCTACATTCTTTCCACTAGTTAAAACTACAAGGATGAGGAATGACATCACTTCTTTTACACAACATGATTGTGAGACTCTATATGAAGCTTGGGAGCGATTCAAGGATTTACTCTGAAAATGCCCTCACCATGGTATTCCTAAGTGGTTGCAAGTTCAAACGTTCTACAGTAGGTTGTTTAATGCTACTCGAACCAATATCAATGTAGCTGCAGGTGTGGTATTGATGGGGATAATTTTTTATGATGCCCATGAGTTATTGGAGATGATGTCTGCCAACAATTATCAGTGGCCTTCTACAAGGATCAATCAGCCAAAGGTGGTAGAGATCTATGAAGTCAATGCGGTTACTGCATTGGCTACATAAGTTGCTACGTCGACAAAGAAGATTGATGCTTTAGTGGTGCAACTTATTCAGAGTGTGGCAGTTGTTTGTGAATTATGTGTCGATGACCATCTGAGCAATCAATGGGCAATTAGTTTAGTGTCTGTACAATACGTTGGTAACTTCAACAGGTAGCAACATGGCAACAATTTCAACAATTATAACCTTGGTTGGAGGACTCATCTGAACTTGTCTTGGAATGATAATCAAGCCCAAACTTCTACTCCAAAACAATCACACCCACTAGGCTTTCAGAATCAAGCTCCACCACAGCAGGAAAAAGAAGTTAAATTTGGAGGAGCTACTTTCCAGGTACATAGCACAGAATGAGACAAGGATGAACAATATGGAAGTATCGATCCGAAACCTAGAAAACTAAATGGGTCAGCTCGCTAATGCCATTAACAACCCACCTCAAGGCACTCTACCTACTGATACAAAGATCAATCCAAAGAGGGAAGGTAAGGAGCAATGCAATGCTATTAGATTACAAAGAGAAAAATAGTTACCTGAGGTTGTTGGTGGAACTCCAAAACAATCACATGAAGATGATACAGAGGGTAGAAAAATAAAAGATAGCAATAATGTGGAACATGAAAAGAAAGAAGAAGATCCAATTGCATGTTCTAATGGAGGTAATCTGAGACCTATTGTGCCTCCCGTGCTGTTTCCACAATATTTGTAAAAACAGAAGTGGGATCAACAATTCTCTAAATTCTTGGAAGTGTTTAAGAAACTCCAAATAAATATCTCTTTCACAAAAATAGTGGAGAAAATGCCTAACTATGTAAATTTTTTGAAGGAAATTTTGTCAAATAAGAGAAAAGTAGGCGATTTTGAGACAGTTGCACTTATGGAGGAGTGCAGTGCTATTCTTCAAAAAAAGCTACCACCAAAGTTTAACGATCCGGGTAGTTTTACAATTTCATGCACAATAGGCAATCAGTTTTTTGGGAAAGCCTTGTGTGACTTAGGAGCTAATATTAACTTAATGCCACTCTCAATTTATCAACAATTGGGTTTGAAGGAAGCAAAGCCTACTTACATCAAATTACAGCTTGCGGATAGATCACCCACTTTTCCAAGGGGCATAGTTGAGGATGTTCAAGTTAAAGTGGATAAGTTCATTTTTTCAACTGATTTCATAGTCTTAAATTGTGAGGATGATAGGAAATGCCTATTATTCTTGGGTGGCCATTCTTAGCAACGAGGAGAACACTTATCGAAGTGCAGGTAGGTGAGCTAACTATGCGAGTCCAAGATCAAGAGGTTACATTCAACGTATTTTCAGCTATGAAATTTCCAGAGGAAGTAGAAGAATGTTTTCTGGTTGATTTGGTGGAAGATGTAGTGAATGAGGTATTCGTAGGAAGCTGTATTTTAGATTCCCTTAAGCACACCAAGCTACATAAAGAGAAGGTAAAAAGGTGGCATGATAAGAAGATCATTGAGCGGAAGTTTGACTCGGGTCAAGCTGTACTCCTTTTTAATTAGTGGTTAAAGCTCGTCCTAGGAAAACTCAAATCAAGGTGGTCAGGACCATTCAATATTACTAAGGTGTTCCCGCATGGAGCGGTTGAAGTCGAGGAAGCCAATTCCAAAAGAACTTTCAAGGTGAACGGGTAGAGACTGAAGCAATATTTGGGGCGACGACATTGATCATGAAAAGACCTCAATTACCCTTCCTGACCTGGGATGAAATAGGAAGTAGTCAGGCTGAAGACTATAAAACAAGTGCCATGTGGGAGGCAACCCAAACTTTTGCTTTTAATTTTTAATTCATGTTTATGTCAATTTAGTTTTTTTTTATTATTTTAGGAGTAATTATGATATTAGATTATTAGTGCATTTTAATTAGTGTGCAATTGCCT